ACACACTCTCTCTCTCACTCACACACACACACACACACACACACAATGTTATTTATTTTACCTGAATCTTCATAATATTTAAATATATTTAATTAATATTTACAATTTATAAATATATTTAATATTTGTCTATATTCAAATTTTGCAATCTGAAAAATAAATAATATATCGAATTGAATTGGATCTTAAGTCTAAGACGCTTTTTCATTCTTTGAAATGTCTCTATTTTGTTTTCCGCATAAAAAAGAAAATCAAACCGATCTGAATGACACGAGGGACAGTAAATGATGACAAAATGATCATTTCCAGGCAATCGATCCCTTTAAATGAAATCTATAAAGAACAATGATAAACCAACAAAACGACTAAAACTTTTAAAACGAAAACTGAAAATATAAAACAAAAGCTAATTCAAAATAACAATAAATAGAATAAAGATAGTACTAAAATAACGCTCTACTATTGATTCTGAGTCTCTGAAGGAAAAGCAAAATAATCAATGAACAGGATGCATTACTAATAGATGATTATTGATGAACAAATTGACATGTGGCCGTTCTGAGCTGATCAGCATTAACGAGCCGGTCTGACTGATTGACAGAAGTGTTAGAGCTTTGTGCTGAACTATTCTTCTGATGTGTATTTTGGCAGCCGCACCTGTTTTCCGTCCAGCGTGTAGAGTCTCTTCACGACGCCGGAGTCCAGTTTTCTTATACAGCAGGATCCTCACAGCCTTCCTGGGCTTCACGCCGCTGCGGATCACTGTCACCAGTTTGGGTTTGATGAAGTCTTTCGGCTCCCTCGATTGAGGCCCCTGACGCCCGGCTCCGCCCACTGGCCCCGCCCCCAGCCGCGAGCCCCAGTTGGGGTTGACGTTCTTGGTGTACTCCACCTTCCTGTACTGTTCGTTGGAGGCGCAGACGTAGCTCTCACCTACAGCAGGAACACCACAGTCACAACGCTTCATCAGACCAACACATCGAGCTCAAATATTCACTCTAAGTTAATATTTCAATAATTAAACAACACACTCTCATGCTCACAGTTCTCTGATGCCAGTTCATGATCACATGACATGCAGGTGAACAAATACAATATTTCATCTTTTTAGTAAGTGTTTTATTTTGTTTTTATTTTAAAATGTATTTTAATTTTATATTTGCTTTAATTTTTTAATTTTTAATTATTTTTGTTTTGTTTCAAAATTATTAAATTTTTTGCTTTAACATTATTTCTTATATTTTTTTGCTTTGTTTTAAAATTATTTTTGTTTTATTTTAAAATAATCTATTTTAATTTTACATTTTTTGTTTGAATTTTTAATTATTTTAATTGTACATTTTTTGTTTTACCTCTAAATTATTGAAATTAATTTAAAATTAAAATTAAATTTTTTATTTTTTCTAAATTATTTAACAAAAATAAGAAACATTGCCTTGCCAACTAACAGAAATAAGTACTAAAATGACTAAAACTAAAACTGAAACAGAAATAAATTGAAGCTATATTGATTTTTTTAGGTTTTATTATTAAATTATGTTTTAATTTGACATTTTTGTTTTCATTTAATTATTTTTTTTTTGTTTTACCTCTAAATTATTGAAATTAATTTAAAATTAAAATTAAATTTTTTATTTTTTCTAAATTATTTAACAAAAATAAGAAACATTGCCTTGCCAACTAACAGAAATAAGTACTAAAATGACTAAAACTAAAACTGAAACAGAAATAAATTGAAGCTATATTGATTTTTTTAGGTAAATTATGTAAATTATGTTTTAATTTGACATTTTTGTTTTCATTTTTAATTATTTTAATTTGACCATTTTAATTAATTTAATTAATTTTACATTTTTTTTATTTTTTATTATTTATTTTAATTTCACATTTTTTAATTATTTAACTTGCAAAATTTAAACAGAAATTAGAAATGTTTCCTTGGCAACTAACTGAAATAGGTTTAAGTTGAAGTACTAAAATGACTAAAACTGAAATAAAAATAAATTAAAGCTATATATACATTTTTTTATTGTTTTAATTCATTTAAATTATTTAATTTTTACATTAAATTATTTTAATTTGAATTTTTTTTTTTCTAAATTTATTTATTTTAGTTTCACTTGCAAATTAAAAAAAAACAATTAGAAATGTTTCCTTGGCAACTAACTGAAACAGGTTTAAGTTGAAGTACTAAAATGACTTAAACTGAAATAAAAATGTATTAAAGCTACATAGATTTTTTTAATGTTTTGTTTTAAAATTATTTTAATTTCAGTTTTATGATTTAATTCATTAAAGGATTTTCACAAACCCAAAAAAGCCGCAGTTTTGGAAACCCTGGGATAGAGAATTGGAATAATTTAAAGTCAAAATTTCTTTATGGTTGCTAGGATGTTCTGGGTGGTTGCTAAGGTTGCAAAAGCAAAGTTGGACCACCATCAGAACCATCTGCATCCATGTGGTTCACCAGCTGTGAGGTGAATCTGAAGTGAAGATGCTGATGCAGTGCTGACAGCAGGTTCATTGACCCGATCGCCATGGCAACGCGACCCCGGGGTCAAAGCAGCATCAGTACGCGGCAGGTGAGAGCGAGCGCATCTGTCTGTGTCTCTGCTTTAATACTGTAATCCAGCAGCTCACGCCTAAACTCATCTCAGCTGGTTTCTCATCAGTCCAAAAATACACTCAAGCAGCTGAATGTGTTTCTGCTGATTCACAGACGCACCGGTCAAACATCTGTAACGCTCAAGATCACGTGAAGCTCCTCAAGGTCAATCGTCCAGATGTTTGAGTAAAATATCTGCTGTAAGACAGTGTGAAGCTCCTGCACGTGTCACGGTTAAACTGCTGTCATTCACCAACACTACAGCGGACTAAAGTCTGCATTCAGATTATTCAACAGTTGCTGCACAATATTTTAGTGGAAACCGTGATTCACTACCATTCAAAAGTTTGGGCTATGAAAAAAAAAAGAAAAGAAATTAGTACTTTTATTTATCAAGAACGCATTAAATTGATCAAACGTGACAGATTTCTATTTCTATTTCAAATAAATGCCGTTCTTTTGAACTTTCTATTCATCTGTGAATCCTGCAAAATAAAATACAAAGAAAACAGCTGTTTTGAATTCTAATAAAATTTCACAATTTTTACTGTATTTTTGATCAAATAAATGCAGCCTCGGTGAGCAGAAGAGACTTCTTTCAGAAACACTAAAAATCAGATTTTTTTCCCAGAAGATGTAAAGTTGCAACACTGTCTGATGTGCTGTAAGTGGGAGGAGCCATTGATATATGAGTATTAATGAAATTATTAATATTGATACACGGACCAAGACACTTACACCAATAGAAAGAGTGCAAACCCTTACAAAAACAAACCTTCAACACCTTCATCTTTGGAAAACTCGCTAAGAGCACTGATCGTGCAAAATTTAAGACAAAGAAACACAAAATCATGAAAAGGCTCTAATTTTATTTTAACTAAAATATAATTTCCTCGAGCTTAAATCAGACTGAGCGACTGCAGCACGTGAGTGTGTGTGTGTGTGTTTGTGTGAGTGTGTGTGTGTGTGTGTGTGTGTGTGTGTGTGTGTCACGCTCACTAATGTTCACTCACTAACGTTCACTAATGAATAATTCAGCAGATGATCTAAAGTGACTGAGCATTCACAATCTGAGCTTAAATCATGCTTGACCGATTAACACAAGTTCACACACACACACACACACACACTCACACACACACACACACACACACTCACACACACACATTTTTTAGTAGATTTTTATGCACTGACACAATTTCCATGAATGTTTCCCACAAAATCCTTATTAATTGCAATGCATTTGGACATTTTATTTTTGAGGGTTTTTTCTTTGTGACTTTGCATTTGTTCATTTACAGTAAAGATAATGATATCTTGTTTCTATTGCAGTGATTAGAATTGGCGGTAAATGTGCTCAAATACCATGATGGGACTGTATTTAAGGTAAGAATATAACATTTATTAATTTTTTTGTGGTGATGGTTAATGGTCACATGACACGCAGGTAAATAAAATTTCTCATTTTTTTGTGAGTGTTTTATTTTGATTGCTTTTATTTTAAAATAATTTATTTTAATTTTACATTTTTATGTTTTGTTTAAAAATTATTTACTTTATTTTACATTTTTTATTTCGAAAATATATATTTTAATTTTACATGTTCTGTTTTAGTTTATAATTCTGTCCAGATTCAGTGCGCTGCTGAAGTTCATCTTTAGTTGATAGCTGCTGGTTAGCTGGGTTAAACTGCTGGTTATCAAGCTGCTGAGCAACAAATCAGCCTCATGTAGCTTATATTGCAGCTGCAGTGCAGTGACGCAGTGAGGATTATCGGCTCTTATGATAAATTGCTTATAATGGGATGGGAGGAAAGTATTTGCTTAATGACTAAATGCAAATGTTCCAGCTGGTTCTGCTTGATTTGCAAGCAGCTAACGAGTCAGTGGGAAGTGGTTACATCTTAAACTAGTCTCCAGCAGGGTTGCTCCGAAATCTACAGATTTAATAAATGAATAATTTTTTTTTTTTTTTATTAAATTTTTGAGATCTTCCTTTAGTTTTATTAATTGCGTGTGTATATTTCATGTGCCAGTAATAATTTGTAATACTGATGTTAAAATACAATTTAATGTTTTAAATATATTTTAAAAATAATTTTATGTTTTAAATATATTTTAAAATAAAAATATATAATATATATATTTTAATTAAATATATTACCCATCATATTAAATATTATACAATGTATTATATACACAATACATTTATCAATATAAATAAATATGTTTAACATAATGTCATATACCATTTATTATAATGTCATATTAATATTTCATTATTTTATTAATATTACATTTCATTTGCTTTATTAATTTGTAATATTGATATATTAAATGTATAAAATAAACAACATAATAATATTAATATAATAATAAATGTAGTGTTTCACTACAGCGCATGTATGTGACAGATGAGGTGCCTCGAACCTCTGTGGACCATTACAGGGCTTCGAATCGAACCTGCAACCCTTCACCTTTCTTTACGGTCATAATTCACGCCGATATTTCCGTGAATGTCTGACCTTCCACGAGATCCTCGAGGCTCGCGATCTTCCTCGCGCCGTCCGCGCTGTAGATGATGCGCACACCTTGCGGCAGGTGCAGGTTGTCGGCGAGCGCGCGCGTCAGCTCGGCCAGCAGCGCGTCCAGGGACCTGAAGCGGTCGCCGGACACCGCGTACACCAGACCCTTGAAGTACCGGTCGCCGTTCCGGTAGAACCGAACCTTCTTGGCTCGCTTCTCGGAGCTGAGCGCCTGGAGCGTGCGCGTCCGGTAGAAGCTGCAGCTGGCGCTGTGCGCGGGGCTCGGGACCAGACTGCTCGCGCGGGAGCCCTGCTGGGAGCCCTGCTGGGAGCCCGAACCCGAACCCGAACCCGCCGCGCGTTTGGAGCGGTGCGCCTTGTCCCGCTCGTCGAAGTGCTCGAGCTCGATGCTCCTGCTGAGAGACATTTTCCTTCCCGGTAACCGACTTCGCAAGCGTTCTTTCTTTTTTCTTTTTTTCTATCGTCCGCTTTGCTCGCTATTGTCATCAGCCCGCGCGGACACAACGCTCTCCCCGCTGCGCGTTAACCGGGCGCACGGCGCGCGCCGACAGCATCATTTACATCAACACAAAAGCAGCGCCCGGCGTCGCGTTCAAACGCGCGTGAGAACGCTCGCGGCCATTCCAGCGGAGATGATTCGGCTGAGAAATAAATGAGTCCGGACACCAGGCTGTTGTCTGCGTGCAACAAAAACCCTGGATGAACTGAACAATCCCGGTCAACCGCGTAATTCCGTTCAGACTGATCCGCCCTTAAACGAGCGCGGCGCGTGCGGTTTCTAGACGCGGGACTCCTCCGCGCGGTCTTAACGCCGTCTGACAGCACTGAGAAGAAACGTGATCTTTGATATTTCTATTTTTAAAACATTAAAAAAAGAAGAGATTTATTTTTGTATCCTTACGCTGCGTCCTCACTCTCTCTCTGTTTTTAAGAAAGTCTGAACTTCAAAATGAAAAATTAAATTAAATTAAATAAAGCAAAGGACACCGCTTGATTTATTTATTTATGCATACACACAAAAATAAACATATTGAACATTACAAATGGCAATGTGCAAATCATACATTAAAAACCAGACAGTGCTTCATTTTATTTAATGCATGCAAAAAATGATACTTTATTAAAAATGGTAAAATTAAAATAAATAAGTAAAAAAAAAAAAACATTACAAAAACACTAAGCACTGTCCAGTGCTTGCTTGCTTTATTTATTTATTGACATGCAAAAATTACTATTCATTAAAAATGTTAAATTAAAATAAATAAGTTAAAAAAAAGCATTGCAAAAATACTAAGCACTGTCCAGTGCTTGCTTGCTTGCTTTATGTATGTATGTATTTAATTAATACATGCAAAAATGACAATTCGTTAAAAATGGGAATACTCAAGTAAAACAAAAATAAAATAAAGCACTGGATATAGTGCTTAGTATTTATTTAGTTAATAAATGCAAAACTGACCATTCATTAAAAATGACCAAACGCAGTTTTTTTCTTTATTTTGCACTTCAGTTTGTTCCAATAAAGTACATCATACATGAAAATGCACCGTGATGTTTTTGTTAAATGAGGTAATATTCACCTGGATTTCTCACATAGTTCTCAAACTTTATTTGATTTGTCCTCGACTGACTTTCACTTTACTAAAACTTCACAGAGGAGTTTAATCAATTCTACACAGACTCTTCATGAATGTGCACGTCTGATATTAATCAAGCTGATCAGAACACTGTCTTTGATGCATTTCAGATGCTTCTGAACAAACACAAACACAAACACTTCATGCCACGTCATTTCTGTTATATTCACCTCTTTTTAACAAGATGAAACATATCAGATTGCTTTTGAGCATCTAAATAGCTCATTATTTTTGTGCCATTGAAAAAAAGGAAGAAATATAAATATCACAGTGTGCTGGAATTCATCTCCATTGATGTGCTTTTAATATTGAAATATTTTTCTCCAGATGAAGATTGTAATATGTGTGTCTCATTACATAGATTGTCTGAAAGCTCAGCACATCTTCAGGATTATCATTTGCATTATAAAGTACAATAACTGAACTTTGGTTCACAGGAAAGTTGATCAGCAGTCATTGATGAGCAGCCAATCAAATAAAGCCACACGATCTCATCATTTCCAAACTGAAAGTCCATATTTAGAGACTTTTCACCCCTCGCTGGTTTTCACTTGCAATTAGATTTAGGTTCAGTTGAACTTATTTTTCATATTTCACATGCAAATGAATTATGAATGAATGATGAATTAAATCATAAATATGTAAATAAAACATTAAAAGATTTGGAAAGATTATGTGATATTTACCAATCGCAGGGAAAAACAAATATGCCAGAATCAAACGAGAGAAAAATGATGGTGAGGAACCGTTAAAATATAAAATTATCTAAATTATAGAAATATGGGTAAGCATGAGTTTGAGTGATAAATATGTACATTTTAAATCATTTAAAAATGAAAACAATTCAAATAAAACACTAAAAATGAAATAAAAAATTCAAAAAATGCTAAAGTTAAAATATTTTGAAAATAAAAAGAATTAAATTAAATGCATAAAAATTGAATATTAAAATGCAAAAATTTAATAAATGTAAAATGTAAATAATTAAAAAATAAAATAAACGAAATAAAATAAAAGCATTAAAAATACTAAAAATGAAATTCACGAAGAAGTTAAAAATTCTATAAATAATTTTAAAATTATAATCACAAATAGAAATGTACAATTGAAATATATTAAACTAAAAATAGTAAAAATAATTACTAAAAATAGTAAAAAAAACAAAACAAAAAAAAATTTAAATTAAAACACTTACTAAAATGATTAATGATGGGGTTATTCTCTTAATAAATAGTGCTGAATTTAACATCAATATAACATGTATGTAACAACACACTAAACACACAGAAACAGATTCAGTCCAGATGAGCCTGAGGTTGTTGTGTGTGTGTGTGTGTGTGTGTGTGTGTGTGTGTGTGTGAGTGTGTGTGTGTA